ATATGATTTTCTTTTGTGAAATTCAGAGGCCTACAATACACTTCCAATCCATAATTGATCAATTTCTGCATTACCTTGTGCTAGAGGACCTGGAAGACCCGCATGGGATCAGATGTGTGTTATGTATATAGGACATAGCCTACTCCTGATTATGTCTTGCATCTGGATGAACAATGAAGTCAACCCTGTATCATCTGGTATAAATTCAACAGTTTCAATATGTAAGACAACTCTTGCTACATATTGTGAATCAGTAACTATATTGAGAGTTTCTTTAAAATCCCTTAGTACCATAAAAATAGCATATAATTCTGCCTTTTGGACAAAATTGTAAGGACTCTGTTCCACCTTACCTAATTCTTCTGATTTGTAACCTGCCTTTCTGTTTTTTTTTTTTTTTTTTTTGCTTCAGTATAAAATGTCAGGGCTCGAGATCCTGAGTTCAATTCCCAGAAACCACATGGTGACTCACAACCATCTATGTTGAGATCTGGTGCCCTCTTCTGGTCTGCAGGCATATATGCAGGCAGAACACTGTATACACAATAAATAAATATTAAACCAACAAACAAAAACACAATTAGCCCAAAATGTATTGGGACAATTAGACATTCACCAAGTTAACCATCTTTATTTGCAATCTTAGGGGACTTCTGGAAAGCACACCAGAAAAGTGTGGACATCTGGGCTGTAGTTCCTGGAATGTGTGTAGGTATGAGTCTCGTTTATTGGACACACCTATGTCTATAAGAGCAAAGGCTATGGTAGTATATACTTCCTTAAAACCGCAATGTATGAGGTAGAAGAAACAAAAGGAGCTGGCAAGTGCCCTGAAATCCTATGTATGATAACTCTAAACAGGGGCTGGAGAGATAGAGTCCTCTGCGAGGACAGTATGTACTCATTAGCACTGAACCGTTTCCCAGCCCACTTTTTATTTTCTGAGACAGGGACATGTGCAGTCCAGGACAACCTCCTCATCTTCGCGCCTCTGCTTCCCAAGGGCTGGGATGACAGGCATGTCTACCTTGGTGTCTTGGTGAATCTTTCACACTCTAGGTGATTCTGAAACATGTTCAGTTTCCTGGACAACAGGATTTCTGGTTTAGAGGAGAGACTTAAATGAAATGGTACATACAGAAGAAATCTGTAAATCAGAACATATATTCTGGGTCTGGGGAACCAGGATGAAATAGGCAGTGGTGGGGATAGTTACCATCATTAGGGCATTGCAACTCTCTCTCCCTTCCTTTCTTCCTTCCTTCTTTCCTTCCTTCCTTCCTTCCTTCCTTCCTTCCTTTCTTCCTTTTGTTCTTTCTTTTTTCCTTTATTTCTTCTATTTTTTAACATTATTTATTTTTTGTGGTTTTCACACCATGTATCTCAATCCCATTCATCTCCCCATCCTTACTTATCCTTATGTATCCACCCTTTGTAACCTCCCCCACTAAAATAAAATGAAATACAATTTAATAAGAAAGTAAAAGACAGAAAAGGGAAAATCTCGTTGTGGGAACTGTAGTGTGGCTCAGCGAGTCCCACAGTTTAACCTTTAGCCCATACATCTTTACTTGCAAATGTTCATTGCAAAGAGTCACTGGTCTGGTTCGAGGCCTCTGGTTTCTGCTACACTGTCGATGCTGGGCCCTCATTGGGACTCCTCTTGAATATCCTGCTGTTGCCCTGTGTTGTGAAGATCCTGCAGCTTTATCTAGCCAGCAGATTATAGATGGGGTAGATGTTAGGGTGGGCCAGTTCAGAGCCCTGATTCTGGGCCTGGGTGATTGCAGGGTGGGCCAGCCTGCCCGTTCTCCCTGTCTCTTACTGTAGGGGTGAACCTTCCAGCATTGCTCTGGCTAGTTCATGATGCAGCAAGGGGAAACGGTGGTGCTGGTTCTCCTGCTTTCACACCCTTGGGGCCGGCTCACCCATACCTCAGCCACCAGGGCCAGCTCTGTTGTGTTGCTCAGGCAAGGCCAGTCTCGTGAGTGCTGCAGCTGGTGAGAGGTGGGGCCGGCTCTCCCTCCTGGCACTGAGCAGGCACGGGGCCTGCTCTCTTGAGTATTACAGCTGGAGAAGGGGCAGGGCCAGCTTGCCCATGCCCCTGAGAACAGGGTCAGCTCTATTGTGCTGCCCAGGTGAAGTGTAGTATCCACTCTCCCTAGTGCTGTTGCTCGTGAGGAACAGGACCAGTTCTCTCTAGTGTTGTAGTGTTGTAGTGTTGTAGTGTTGTAGTGCATCCCAATCCACTCGACCTTTGGTGGTAACAGAAGCCATGGACATTAACGCAGACCACAGCTGCAGCAGACATGGGTCTGGCAGCAGCCCATACCCAGAAATCACCAAAGCCCAAGGTGGCAAGCAAGCCACCTACCTAGGCCGCTCCTCACTGCCTTCACCTCATCAGATCCGCCTCTCTCCACAGGACGTGACCATTCTGTCTCCCTCACCTCGTCAGATCCGCCTCTCTCCACAGGACGTGACCATTCTGTCTCCCTCACCTCCTCAGATCTGCCTCTCTCCACAGGACGTGACCATTCTGTCTCCTTCACCTCATCAGATCTGCCTCTCTCTCTCTCCACAGGACGTGATCATTCTGTCTCACCACTCTCGTAGCCCACCCTGTATTTCTCACTGTAACAGTGCTGGGCAGGCCCATGGTTTCTCCTTGCGTCTGTCTTCTCCTGCACTCGTTATTTCTTAACAAAACTTGCCTGAAAATTAAATTCTGGGAGCTAGAGAGATGGATCAATGGTTTAGAGCATTTACTGCTCTTCCAGAGAAACCAGATTAGATTCCCAGTACCCAATGTTCAGTTCACAACCATATGTAACTCCAATCCCAGGAGATCTGATGCCCTCTTCTGTCTTTCAGGAATATTGCATGTGGTTCAGAGACTTGCAAGCAAAAGACTTATCTATACACTAAAAGAAGTATTAATACGTAAAGATAAAAATTTTAAATTAAAGTTATAATTTAATTTAAAAATAAATTTACCTCTAGATCTGACAGCTGAGTGTGAATTCAAGCTATATATCCTTACACAGACATTTACTTTAATTCAACGTTAAATTGAAACACACAGAAAGGGTGTTATTCTGACAGTGCTACAATCAAGGTGACCGCTGTCTCACGAGTGGATACTTTTGAGAATGAACGGAAATGCTGTTGATTTATATATCAGGACAGAAGTAAACCTAGGACTGTCCCCAGGAAATCAGAATGAATGGTTGTTGGGGCTATAACCACAAGATCAGCCACACCCTTGTGTGATCCGGCAACGACCTTACACTCATGAACCTGTCAGATGTGGTTGCCTGTACAAGATCAGGTCAGCCACAATTCCAGCTGGAGGGGAGAGGGTTCCTAATTCCCCACCTCACTCTGAGGAGCCATTGGCAGCTGATGTGTGCTGGGGAAGGACAGTCATTGTCTTTGGGGTTGTGGAACTGTAGTTGCCCCCGCTACAGAGGATGGTCCCACATCATTTGCAGATGGTTGGTACTAACTGGACTCTGTGTTTTTTCCCCACCACCTGGACTGTGTTATAAAACATAAATAAAGGGCTGAACAGATTCCTCAAGGGTGAAGAATACTTGTTGCCGAAGATCCAGGCTTGGATCCCAGAACCTTCATGGTGATTCATAACCCTTTGTAATTGTAGTTCCAGGCTATCCTACCCCACTTCTGACATCCACAGGATCCAGACATGCATATGGTGCAATACATACTTGTGGGCAAAATACTCTTATAAATAAAAATACGTAACTATTATAAATATAAATAGCTGGGTGGTTGTAGTGGTATATTATTTGTATTTTAATAAATAAATCTTGCCTGAAGACCAGAGGCAAAGCTAAAGCCACTAATGGTCAGGACATGGTGACACACACCTTTAACCCCAGGATTTGTGAGACAGAGGCAGATGGATTTCTGTGAGTTCAAAGCCACCCTGGGCTACACAGGACAATGCAGAAACAAATCCAGGTGTAGGTGTCTCACACCTTTAATCCCAGTACTAGAGGGAATATAAAATGAGAAGAGAGAGACACTTAGTCAGTTTAGTTTGTGGTCACTCAGCATTGGTAGAGGTTATACTTCTCTAATGGCTTGGTTGCTTTGCTTTTCTACTTTTCAGGTTAAACCCCAATTTCTGTCTCTGGGCTTTTGTTATTTGTGCTATAGGTGGTAGTGGCTCATGCCTTTAATCCCAGCACTCAGGAGGCAGAGGCAGGTGAATTTGAGTTCAAGGCCAGCCTGGTTTACAGAGCAAGTTCCAGGAAAGCTATGGTTCCTGCACCCACATAGTCTCTTCACTACTGCTCTAACTCCAGTTTCCATGGGAGAGACAATCTTCTCCTTTACTTCTGTAGGTACTAGGCATGCACACTGTGTATATATACATGCAGGCAAAACACTATGCACATGAAATTAAGATAAATAAACCTAGGTCTCTTTAGTTGATTGAAAAATGAGCAATATGGTTTTCAATGACAGAAGAGAGGAGAGGTGTGGGGATAGGGGTGGGCGAAAAGGGAGCCAGGGAATTGGGGGAGAGGAAGAAAGAAGCAGTGTGATCCTGGGGACAAAAGAGAAAGAAGAAGGGTTAAGAAGTAAAGTATTGAGCAACTAGTGGATACTTTCCTAGTGGAGATAAAGGAAATAGGTCAGGCAAGCTGGGGATCTAAGAAGTACAGACAGAGAGGAAGAAACTGTTAGTCCTAACAGAACAGAGGGTGACTCAGAGACAGGGAGAAAAAAAACAACAGAGGACAGGTGGGGGAAGTAAGAGATCTAGGGGGTTAGCACACCTCCCTGAAATGACACTTAGCCTCTCCACTCTCTACCTGTGGTAGAGCGAACTTTGATACTTGAATCTTCTGTTCTCAAACAACTGCTTTGTAAAGATAATTAGTTCAAGGTCCAGGGATCCTTGCTCTGTGTTATAGGAAGGAGGAACTCACAGTGTCTGTTTGTTCTTGAGAGATGGTGAGGTAGGATTGACCATCTGTTTTCTTCTCTTTACAATATTCCCCCTTAAGTTTTCCTCTTCTCTGTTGTTCATTTACTCTACCCCCTCTTCATTTGTCCTTCTCTAGTCTTCCAATTGAGAGGCTCTTTAGCCTCTGCTTCCTGTCTCATTTTCTCTTCACAGAACTGGCACCTGCCTCGGACTTCTGGGCTTTCACATATCAAGTTAGCCTTGCTCCTCCATCATGGCAAGCCTAAAGAATGTCAGCGAACTACTGGAGGATGTGTCCTGCCCCATCTGCAAGGAAATTCTACGGGATCCTGTCATCACTGATTGTGGGCACAACTTCTGTCGGCAATGCATCAATCAGAAAACTACAGCTACAGAAAATCCCCAATGTCCGCTCTGCAAACTCCCTGTGGATAAGAATGCATTCAGGCCCAATATGCTGTTGGGAAATATTGCAGAGAAAATCCAGGCTATGGATCTTGCTGAGTTCCAACCAGAAGAAAAAGAGCCAAGATGTCAGAAGCACAAGGAAAAGTTCCATTATTTCTGTGAGAACGATAACAAGTTCCTCTGCAGGGAGTGTCATGACTCCAAGGACTACAAAACCCACGAAGTTACCTCGATACATGAGGCTGCCCAGAACTACAAGGTAGGCACCTGCCTCCTTCTCTGTCCCCAGCTCAGCAGAGTAGAACTCCCTGGGGACCTGGGAGCTGCTGCCTTTTCCATCTGGTTGGCACCGACTGCTGCAGTCTTAACACTTGAATTGGCAGTTTGCAGCTGGGCCCAGTGAGCTCAAAGACCCAGGTTCTGGGAAATACCAATCTGTAATCAAGGTAAGAATAATAATCAGAATAGTACTTTGGGGGCAGGGGAGATAATTCAGAGACTAAAGGCACTTGTCACCAAGTCTGAGGACTTGACTTTGACCCTCAGGATCACATAATACAAGGAGAAAATTGGGTTGATCCTTTAGAAAGAAATGGGGGGCTGCTAATAATGACATCAGTACCCTGGGATATCTTCCCTGCCTCCCTAGAGGCAGAACCTGACTGAAGCATCCTCTCCCCACAGGTGCAGATTGAGACACAGCTCCAGATCTTGGGGCAAAAGGACGAGGAAATAATTAAAAAGAAAAAAGAAGGTGAAGGAGCAATCCAGGTGTTCAGGGTAAGAAATATTCACTCCAAACACTTTTGAGGAAGTTGAGCATCTCTGTTGAGAAAATGTTGAGCACTCCTTATACACCAGGCTGGAACAAAGTCCTGCTGACAAGATGGCATGGGCAGAGCAGAGAGTGTGGTGCCTGAGCCTTGCTCCTGAGCTGTACTGACCTACCTGCCTGGGTGCTGCACCAGTGAATCAGGAGGGCTTCTGCTCCTCCACCCACAGCAGATTTGTAAGGACCACGCGCGCACACACAGACACACTATACACAGAAACACACACACTGGCTCACACATGCCCCTTTTTACTAGAGACTGATCACACAGTAAGAAAAGACAAGAGACTATGACGCCACCAAATGTCTCCACCTGATTTTGGTATTGTTTACTTTTTTAAAAGGTTTCTGCATTACTTTTATCTATGTGTATATGTCTGTGTGAACAAAAGTCATGTGTGTGTATATCCTAGCAGAATCCAGAAGAACTGGAAATACAAATATTTGTGAGCTGCTCTTCATAGGTGCTGGGAACTGAATTCAGGTCCTCTGGAAGATCAGTAAGCATTCTTAACCCCTGCATCATCATTCCAGGTCCATTCATGGGAAATTCAGTATGAAGGCAGCTAAACTGAGGAGAGTTCTCTCTCTCTCTCTCTCTCTCTCTCTCTCTCTCTCTCTCTCTCTTCTCTCTTTCCTTCTCTCTTTCTTCATTTGTGTATGTTCTTCCCCACTGACTTTTAAGAATATTTTATTTACTTATTTTTAGATTTAATTTTATGTGAATGAATGCTTTGCCTCCATGTATGTATGTATACCAGGTGTATGTCTGGTACCCATGGAGATCAGAAGAGGACACTGGATCCCTGGAACTGGAGTTAGGATGGTTGGATGGTTGTGAGCTACCATGTATGTTCTGGGATTTGAATCTGAGTCCTTTGCAAGAGCAACAAAGTCCCTTACTGAGCCATATCTCCAGCTCCTAGACACGGTATCATATGTAGCACAAACTAGAAATTGTTATACAGGAAAAGGATCGCCTTCATCATCTGACCCCTTTGTCTTTCCCCCAGTACTGGAATTACAGGGCCATAACAGCATTCCAAGGCTACGAAATGGTGAGAATGGAATCCAGGACCACACACATGCTAAGCAAACACTCTCTCACCTGAACTACAGCCTTATCCTGGGTTTTCTATGGTGATGTTGTTTGTTTGTTGAGAGCATGGCCCAAGTAGTCCAGGCTGGCCTTGAATGGAGACTGGCCTTGGCTTCCTGCATCTCCTGTCTGCACTCCCAGTGCTAAGATTTCTTAGTTGTGCATCTGGCTGATGTCCTTGAAGGTTTAAAAAAAGTCAATGAGCCTAAATCATTGAACACAGAAAGTGCTTTGATCTCCTTTCCCCTTCCCCTTTCCCACAGGTACACAGTAACAAGCTGTTCTTTTTTTTTTTTTATTGTTTCTCTTGTGACTATTTATTGAAACATGGGACTCTGTTCTAACACTGTATGGCTCTGACAACTCGAGTTTCATGATGAGCCCTTTAATTTGGTAGGGCACATAAGTTTTTCAGGCTCTTTTGCTATACTGGTAATTATTTTATGTAACAAATAAGTACGGCATCATTTCTTTTTTTTTTTTTTTTCTCCTATCTTTTGGGGATGTTCTATTGGGATCTCACCAAGGCCAGCTGGCCTAGGTCTGAAAAAACATGGGATAAATCCGGACTAGCTGAACATAGCGGACAATGAGGAATACTGAGAATTCAAGAACAATTGCAGTGGGTTTTTGATCCTACTGCACGTACTGGCTTTGTGGGAGCCTAGGCAGTTTGGATGCTCACCTTAGGAGACCTGGATAGAGGTGGGCAGTCCTTGGGCTTCCGACAGGTCAGGGAACCCTGATTGCTCTTTGAGCAGATGAGGGAGGGGGAATTGATCGGGGGAGGGGGAGGGAAATGGGAAGCGGTTGTGGGGATGAGGCAGAAATCCTTAATAAGTAGCAAGCTGTTCTATACTGGTCTCAGAATACTCTTTACATACTCCTAAAGAGTGAATGGTTCCAGATGGTGCATACCCTTAATTCCATCACTTAGGAGGCAGACCCAGGTTGATCTCTATGAATACAAGACTAACCTCTTGCTCTGAATGAATTCCTGACTATCCAGAACTATATAGGGAGACTTTGCCTGCAATTAGTTAATTGATTGATTGGTTGGTTGATTGATTTAAAAGTGAATGATGGGCTTAAAGGAAGCTTGGAGAATCCTCTCTCATTCCTTCTTCATCTCTGCATCCCTTCCCTTATCCCCAGGCCCAGGTACATCTAGAGAGACTAAAGATCCTTGAGGAATTTAAACATGTGCGCCAGAGACTGGAAGAGGAAGAGAGATTCCTCCTGTCCAGGCTGAGCTGGCTGGAGCAGCAGGGAGTCAAGCAGATAGAAGAGTATGTCACTGTCACAGAGGGACAGCTGACCACCCTCAGAGACCTCATAAGGTCCCTGAAAAATAGGCTACAAGCGCCATCGATGGAGCTACTGGAGGTTAGTCAATTGGCAAAAGACTCTTTCTTCTCTCTCTCTCTCTCTCTCTCTCTCTCTTTTTCTGAAAGATACTTAAGAATCTGTATTATACTGTGTCCTAACAACTCCTAATATCAGATTCCTCCATGTCCTTTATCCCCTGAAATGAAATTTTTGCGAAACTTCTATCACTCCCTGAAATAACATAAAAGTCAGATACTCTCCTTTCTCTGGGGATTTGCCTGAGGCTCCTATCAGGTTTTAAAGCCTGTTGCTCCCCACAAGGCTCCATTTGTATTGTCTCTGACTTAATGTACTGTTCCTCTCTAATGCTGTTCCATAGCAAGGCACAGTACTCACCACGCCCTTTCTCCTAATAACCCTCATGTATGAGGTGTGGTTTCTTTATTACTTTTTATTGCCTTCCTGAACTAATCCACCAACTGCTGCCCTGCCTCGCCTAACCAGCAGTTCTCAACCTGTGGGTCTTGATCCCTCTGGGGGATCTGCCCACCCCTTCAGAGAGGCCACCTAAGACCATCAGAAAATATCAGACACTTACATTCCAATTCATGATAGTAGCAAATTACAATTATGATGTAGTAACGGGAATAATTTTATGGTTGGAGGTCACCACAACATGAGGAGGTGTATTAAAGGTCTGCAGCATTAGGAAGGTTGAGAACCACTGACCTAATTAAAGCTCCTCTCATAACTCAGGACACTGAAGCAGGAGGATTGTTACTAGTCCAAGGGTAACATGAACAAAGATCAAGACACTATCTCAAACATCTGGGCATGGTTTCTCACCTCTATAATTCTAGCACTCCAGAGTAAGGAGTCTTCTCCAGAACACTAGAGTTCAAGGCCAGCCTGGACACACACACACACACACACACACACACACACACACACACACACACACGAAAGGAAAGAAGGGAGGAAAAGAAAAAGAAAGAGAGCCACAAAAAAAATCTAGGGCTTTTTGATCTTGTTCTTTGAGGCAGGATCTCAGGCAGCCCAGGCAGCCTGGCAGTTTTAGGACAAAGGTCATGTGATCAAGGGTAACACTGAAATACTAATCTTTCCATCTCCTTTCATGTGCCACTACATCCAGCTCACAGTTTAGAATTGTGATGTAGGTCACATATGTTACTTAAAAGCATCTCTCAGACTCATGCAAAGGCGCTTGCCACCAATCCCAAGTCCCACATGGTGGAAGAACAGGGCCAGTTCTTACACATTTTCCTCTGACCTCCTTCTGTAACTGCAGATCCAGATCTGATCACTCTGGCCTTGTAGGGTTCCTGCATTCTCATTTACATGCCCACACACGGACACACATATATACACAAATTAAAAATAATGAAAATAGGGCTGGAGAGATGGCTCATTGGTTAAGAGCACTGTCTGCTCTTTCACAGGTCCTGAGTTCAATTCCCAGCAACCATATGGCAGGTCACAACCATCTATAATGGGATCTGATGCCCTCCTCTGTCATGTGGGCATATCCATAGCACTCATACATAAAAAAAATATTTATAAATAAAAACTTAAAATAATAAAATCTTTTCACGTTATTCTTAAAAATTAATAAATCTTAAAAATAAAACCCAATAAAAGAGCTATATTTCAAGATATATTTCTAGTAACTATATTAAAAAGTAAAAAAAGAATCAGGCATAGTGGTATACCTTTAATCCTAGCACTTGGGTGGGAGAGGTGAGTTCAAAGTCTACCTGGCTCACAAATGGAATTCCAGGCCAAGCAGGAAAAAAATTAGATAAAAGTAATTTTAGTAAAACACTTTAACAATTTATTTAATCCAATATTCCAAATGTAATTATTTCAGCCTCTTTAGACAGATTTGTGACCTATTCCATATTTGTAAGAGCTGGTTTTTTTTTTTTTTTTTTTTTTTTTAGTTCTGAGTCTTTAAACTCTTGTTTATTTTGCACATCTCAGTTTAGATGTTAAATCATCAATTGCTTAGGTAAAATGTAGTTAATCCTAGTAAATCAAAAAAATTGTACTTATAATGCTTCAATTTTTAAATTTAGATTTAAAATAGTAAAAATTAATTGGTGAAGAGGACTGAGGTGTTAGTGCATTCCTGTCCTCTCAGCGCTCAGGAGTCAGACACAGAAGATTCGGTAGTTCAGGACTGTTCTTGGCTACACAGAGAATTCGAGCCCAGCCTGAGATACATTAAACTGTCTCAGATAAAAACAAACAAAACCAAGAGGGAAGAATAATAGGACACCCAAGTGCCAGGACTAACACACCTGGTTTCTGTTTTGTTTTTGTTTTTTCTTTAAAGAACCATGGACAGCCACTCCACCTTTGTCCTAACACTGCCAAGTTGAGCTCCCTGGTTCTGTATCAGAGGCAACACCCGTCTCCCAAATGTCACTCTTTCTTCTCTCCTCACTCTGTGTCTCCTGAGGTTTAAACACTATCCCAGACAGACAGACAGACAGAGAGACAGAAAGAGAGAGAGAGGAAAGAAAGGGTGGAAAACTGGGGTGTTTTCACTCTGTCTCCAGCTGAGTCTGAACCCCTTCTTGGTGCCTATGACTCAGGCAAGCTCTGACATTGTTCTCTCTTTCTCTTTCAGGACATCAAAAACACCTTGGGCAGGTATGATGGGCATCCCAAGTGCACTGTGCTTTCTGGTTCACTCATACATACAACATTCAACATATATCTGAATATGTTCACATCCTCCAATAACTCGGCTATAAACTCTTTAGGCTGCAGGTGGGGAAGACCAAGCTGGCCACAGTATCATATGGTCTGCTGGGCACAGCTCTTTTCACCAACACCCAGCTTTAGAGCAGCTGCACTCCCCTCCCATATTCCTCTTGGTCAATGGGGGTGAACCCTGGATTTCCTACTCTACCTCCCTACTCCCTGTCCCTTCTCCCTTCTCTGGTCCATCTCCCATCTTCCTTTCCATATTTTCTTGTGTCTGATCTCATAGCCCTGCATTCCCGTCCTGGCTCCACTGATGTGGGACAATCACATCAGTCTTATAGCCTGAAAAGTTTTGTCAGTTGTACTAGTTTAATAAAATGCTAATTAGCCAGTAGCCAGACAGGAAATATAGGCAGGGTGACCAGGCAGGAAGTAGAGGCAGGGAAACCAGAACAGGAGAATTCTGGGAAGAGGAAACGTGCACTCTGTAGTCGTCACTCAGACATAGAGGAAGCAAGATGAGAATGCCTCGATGAAAAAAGGTACCAAGCAATGTGACTAATACAGACAAGAATTATTGGTTAATGTAATTTATAAGAGTTAATAAGAAGCCTGAGCTAATAGGCCAACCCGTTAAAGATTTAATGCAGACCTTTGTGTGTTTCTTTGGGACTGAAAGGCTACAGAACCAGGAGGGACAGAAACCTCTGTCAACACACCCTGACAAACAGCTCCCTGGCTCTAGACTGTATTTATCACTCTTCCTCCATCCCAGGAACCAGCTCCCAGATCCTTTCTGCCCACACTCTATCCCCAAACTTACCACTCAGATCAACATATCTTCACAGGAGTAGAGAATTTGAGTTTTCCAACCCAATACCAGTTCCTACGAACCTGAAGAAAAAAATCAATGAAGCGAAAGCAAGACACGAGTCCATCATAGAAAGCCTTAAGAAATTAACAGGTAAGATGTGACTGACACTCCCTGTGCTTACCTGCCTCAGGATTCTTTCCATCACCCCAGATACCATCTGATGTCTCTGGTATAGCCCCAAAGCCTTTCTGAACCCAGGTGAATGAGTCAAAGAACCATTATACAGAAATTCCTCATGCTGTGTTGTATCAGGTTTAGTGCTCAGGATAGATTGCGGGACTTCATGCTTGCTTGACAAGCACTCTGCAATCTGAGCTACATCCCCAGAGTCAAAACACCTCTGACCTCAAAAATTGTCCATGTTTACTAGATGGTGAACATGGGACTAGAAGTATGTTCCCAATTTGGTTGTCACTTATCACATGTACCCACTCCTGGGCACCAAAACACAGCATTCACACATAGTGTAAGTAAAGAATACACATTGACTCTGAAAGACTTAATATTGAAATAGAGCATAAAATATAGCAATGAAAACAAAAGCAAACAGAAATATTGTCCAGGGTAGTCTCTTATGGAAGACCACAGTGACTGAGTAGTTGGGTCTCCAGCATAAGCACTGTGCCCAGGTAGCTGTCAACCTTTATTGGACATGCTGAAATGGCAGTATATTTTAACATTCTGAGCTAAAGAAAACATATTATTTAAATTCATTGTATTCATTTCCTTTTAAAATGTTTTATTTACTTTATGTGTATGGGTGTTGTGTGCATGTATTGTGTCTATGCCTGGTGTCTATGGAGGTCAGAGAGGGTGCCAGATGCCCTGGGACTGGAGCTTCAGCGGATGCTGAGATCTGACTAGATTCCCTGGTGCTGTTAACCACTGAGGCCTCTTTCCAGCTCCCTTTTCCTTTCCTTTTGCAACACTGGAACTCACTATGTCCTGTGGACTAAAAGTTGTCATCCTGCTGTGTCAGCTTCCTGAGTGTCAGCATGCCCTGGTCCTTTAGAGTTTCAAAATAGCATCCAGAAAAGCCCAAATTCAGTGGCTTATGCTTGTGGCTCCAATACTTCTGTTCTGGACTGAGCTGTACTGGAGAGCCAGTTCTGGGAGACCCTAGGGCAGCTCTCCCTGTTGGCTGCCTTCTTGGTCCGCTGAGACTATGAGAGAAATCCCAGTACCACCTCTTCCCACATCAGCAATTAATGCCTTACTGTGTGTTCCATGTTGCTTGCTTAACCTCTGTGGATTCTCCATCTCCCTCACTCTCTCCTCACAGACAACCTGAACACTGAAGGGAAGGAAGATAAAAGCACATTCCTGAACAGCCTGGATGAAAAGGACATGGAGAACTGTAAGTGTGTGCATAACCTGCTGTTTGGGGAAAGTGAAGAATACAAAATCTCTCTTCAATGGGAGATTGAGGGTGGAAGGTCCAATGTGTGTGTGAACACCAATGTAGAACAAGCTTATAGAATTGTTTTATTATCTTACATTTAGATAATCATAGTGACATCCCCACTAATTAAAAAACTTTTAAAAATGAATGGCAATTTATACATTTATTTCTTCATTTCACAAGGCTCAGTTGGAGGCAGTTCAGTCTGTAGCTGGAGCTGACCTAACAGGTCTAGTTAGCCCAGCAATGCCAAGGAGTTGAGACCCACTGGGACAATGCCTGTAATGATGTCATCTGATTGGTCCAGCTTTGAGGGTAGTTAGGATAAAAGCCAGGATCAGCTGCTCATCCCCAATATGACTTTTAATTTATAACCACTTGTTATTAACGTAAATTTGTTTTCTCTCTCAAATCTTAGGGTACCTGTTACAGAAGAATAACTCAGATTTGCCCACCTCAGGTAGGATTCCTCCTAGGCACACGGGTCTTCCTTTAGAGAAGCAAGGGTCCTCTAGGTGTACAGGTCAAAGTGTTCTGTTCCTTCACAGATCTGATACAGCAGAAGCCTAGCCCCCAACAGGAAACCCCTAGTGTGCAGGTGCACCCTGCTGCTTGGTCTATGCCCCTCCTACTGCCTCTGCAGCTCAGCAGGACCTAATGCTCAGCCCTATTCCATCCCCTTCCACTTTGAGGACTCCTTTCTGAGGTAGCACCCTCTTGAGCTCTGCTCTGGAGCAAAACTGGGCCCCTTTCCCTATGTTCCTAGAGGAGGAGTTGGCTGTGAGCTGGGCTCTGTGCACACTGACAGCCTCAGAGTTGTGTGTTGTGCACCCCTGCATGTTGCTCCTTCATTCTCACTCCCCCACCTTCTTTGGGTTTTGTTTTTAAAAATTTTCTTTCCTTGGTTATTGTTGTGTGTGCATGCTTATGCACAATAAGATGAGAGGACTAGTTTGTGAAGACCGTTCTCTTCTTATGTGAGCTTTTTATGTGAGTTTTGGGTGTAGGCAGCAAGCATCTATATCTGTACCTGCCAAGCCATCTCGCCTGTCTTTTATTAGTTCTTTTTTCTCTTTCTCTGGCTGGTGCATGTGAGTGTGAACACACAGGTGTGTGTGTGTGCATGTGTGTGTGGTGTGTATGTGTGCACGTGTGTGTGGTGTGTGTATGTGTGTGTGGTGTGTATGTGTGCACGTGTGTGTGGTGTGTATGTGTGTGTGGTGTGTGTGTATGTGTAGTGTGTGTATGTGTGTGGTGTGTTTGTGTGTGTGAGTGTGTACTCATGGAGGCTAGATTTAGGCATCTTCTTTGACACTCTTCCTTAGTTTCATGGACAAGATCTCTCACTGAACCTCAAGCTCACTAGATAGTGTGGGCTGTCTTTCTATTGAGGCCCATGCCCATCCAGTCATCCTTGCTACTCAGCACCAGGGTTACAGGTGTTCCAGGGCCACACCAGTTTTTGTCCTTAGATGCTGGGGATCATGACTCATGTCTTCATGCCTGCACAGCTAAGGCACCTCCCCAGTCCCTTGTTTTTTTGCTTGCTTGCTTTTGAGAAAGAATCTCATGTAGCCCAGACTGTCTTTGAATTCATGGTAGTTCTCCTGTCTCAGCTTCCCAAGTGCTGGAATTAGAGGTATATGCACAACTGTGCCTGGCAATGAGCACCTCCAACAAAACAGAAGACAAGCCCCCGTGGTGGTTATTCTCACACAGTGCTGCTCTTCTCCAATTGCTTTGACTCTGATGCCCCCAGTAGACCTTAAAAGTTGCTACCATTGTCTTCCCCTATGTTCATTGTCCCTATATCCTTACCCCCAGTTATACAACTTAGCCAAGTCTGGGGGTTAGAAATGGGTAAGATCTGCTTGGATCATGCCTCTTACCTACCCCAGTGACCCTGACCACTTGCTCTAATGCTCACTTCCATATCCGCCATCTCCCCAACCCCACACACAGCAGAGGAGAACTAGCATTGCAACAAAGGCTGAGATGCAACACCAAATGAGGGGCGAAAATGTTCCCACTTTCTAAACCTTAGCAGAGCCAGGACCACTGGTGCTCTAGCCTTTGAATAGGACAAAGACTCTGTAGCTTTGATAAACTGCCATTCAAGGTCTGAGCCATAATACAGGGGTTGGGACACATCAAGGGTCTCTGAATATCCACTTCTTCAGCCCTCCTGTGTTTGAGGGATTCCATTCTGTCATACGCACTCATATGTGCACACACATGCCTTTGTGTGGAAGTCAAAGGATGACTTGGGGAAGTCAGTCCCCCACCATGTGGGTTTCTGGACTGAAATCAGGTGTCAGGCTTGGGGGCACATGCCTTATCAGCTAAGTCACCTCCCAGACCCAAGAACACCATTTTAGAAAGTCAGGCTAGTGGTGACCCCATCTTTAGAAAATCAGGCTGAACCTTGACCTCTCATAGTAGCCCCAATTGTTTGCCATATGAGAACCAGGAAATGTAGAAATGGGAAGACATATCTACATTGTTAGAAGATCTAAATTATACAGGGTGTTATGACCTTGGTTCAAGACTTCTTTCTGAAATGATTCTACTACCACGTGGACTAGGGGACCTTCCCTCTGCATCCACAGAACAGAAGCTCATAAAATCAGGGGCTAAATTTGAGGCCTGGGGATGGAGTGTGGGGGAGAGCATGGGCATGGTATCCCACATGTATAATTCCAGCACTAGGGAGGTGCAGTTTGAAAGATGAGAAGTTCAAGATTGTCCTTAGATACATACAAAATTTCAGCCCTGCTTGGGTTATATGTGACCCCCTCCTCAGAAAACCAAAAGAAACAGGCAGGAGTCTTTTCTGAGGACAGAAACTGGAATTTGAAGGAGAATTTCTCCCTCTAGCTACATCATGAGAAGCTCAAAAGCAGGATGCTGGAGGACTTGCCCTGAAACTATCCCTCTTTACTCTTTTTCTCTTCCCACAGTACCTACGACCCTGGACATGGCCTCAGCTGACCCAAACCTCACCTTTTCTCAGGATCTAAAGAAAGCAAGCTTGTACGTCATCGACGGCACATTGAATAGGCAGGCAAAACCTCCACAATTCGAAAAATTCCACTGTGTGAGGGGCTCCCCAGGCCTCTCCTCAGGCCATGGGGTATGGGAGGTGGAAATTCAGGGACCCTCAGATCAGGATGGCATAGTGGGCGTGGTCACTGAGTTGTCTCAGGGGTTCCAGATTCCGAACTCTGAGCCAAACTGCTTGTGGGCACTGCAGATCTCGTCCTCTGGATGTCAGCCAATCACCAACTGCAGTATTCGGGAGAATCTCCCATTCTCTTATAGGAAAGTGGGCATCTACGTAGATTATGAGCATGGAGATATAGTCTTCTATGATGCCATCACTAAAAAACACATCTACACTTTCCAAACTTCCTTTGACAGACAGGTCTTCCCTTATTTTGGGCTCAAAACTGCCCGCAGCTCTATCACCCTAAGCCCCTAGGACTGTACCACTGTGGGTCCCTCAGTTTCTTCCCCACCCATCCCTCATGATTGAATGAGATGCAAGTGGAAGGAATGAAGCTTGGTCCTACTCGGGCACACTACACACCCTACATACCCTATATATACTACACAAACTACACACACTATACACCCTTCACACACACTACACACTGCTCATACCGTACAAACCCCACATACCCTACACACTCCACACACCCTACATACCCTAGACACTCTCCACGCACTACACATCCCACATACTACACACCCCACATGCTACACACATTTCATACTCCCCCCACCCTACACACACTATACAGCCCACACACTTTAATACCCTACACATACTTCTTTCGGTGAATAAAGAAGACAGTAGAATTTCCAAATACTAACCACAAGGCTTTTCATTGCTGAACTTCATAAAAGGACATGATTAGAAATGGCCAAACTTCAGCAACAGCCCATTGGGAAATATCTGGCCACTCCCTGCTTGAGCTGCAAGTCCAAGACGCTGCCCAGCACCCTGCCTGCCCCTTTCTCTACTTCACTACCTGCAGTTCCTATGACTCTGAACTTGAGCATCTGGCTCTTGCCCATTCCTGAAGTCTGAGAACCAGAGGCTACATGCAGAATCAGCCAGGCCTGTGCCAGTTTGTAGACAGGACAGTCTTCAATCAGGGCTGTAACCTTTTGACAATTCAAAGCAACTTTGTCACCCTCAACAACTCTGCCTTCAAATTAAAAACAAAACTGTAAATCAACCTTCATGTTGACTGAAATTTCTAATTTTGTGTGAGGCCACATCCATAGCAATCTTTAGGTTCCATTGACCCTCCAGACTCAGGCAGGTTAGTACTGGAATAGTTTGATAGTCGGGGGCAGGGGTGGAACCACACAAAGATCATACTACATTTCACAATTAAAATTTTAATTTATTTTACATTTCTGAAGTGTGTGTGTACACTCACATGTCATAATCTCCCTGGAAGGTCAAAATATGACTTTTGAGTGTCAATTCCCATTTTTTCTATATGGGATTTTGGATAAATCTTAGCTCATAGACTTGATGCAAGTGTCTTCTGGATGAGTCATCTCACAGTCTCCATTTCCCATTCTAGAAAGAAGACTGTACATAGACATGTTTGCTAGTTTATTCTCCCTAGGGTTCATGTAGCCTACCCTGGCCTTGAACACTTTATTTTGTGAGAACTGAGCAGGACAGAATACTCAGTCAACAAATGGTGCCCACATGGACAACTGCATCCACATAAAGCCTGAGAGGGTTTGGAAAGTTATTCTAGACAAAAATGAATAGAGTTAAGCACAGCTTATTGATAGCAGCATTTTATCAGGTGGGCTCTGTTTGCTAGAGGCAAATGCATCTCATTTAAGAGAGGCTTCCTGACTCAGCTTTAGCTGTAAAGCCTTGCAGTTCTTTTAAGAGGCCCTGCCACAAAACACTTAAATGGTGTTGATGAAAAGCTGACCGCATGCTTTTTGGTTTTCAGCATTAGCACACACACACAAAAAAAGCCATGCCATTTTAAAACGCCAGCATTCTGGGCCATCCTGCCAACACAAACTCTGACTCTTTCAGGCAGGAGGTCTGGCTACAGAGCATTTGAGTGTGGTAGGTGAGCAGACTGCTGCAACTTACTTGTTGACAGGGACTTTGAAACGCCATAGAGTTGTGGCAATAAACATGGCTACAACCAGTACCTCCACCATGAGGCTAGAAACTTAGAAAGCTAAGAAATAAGCTGGATCCAGCCACCAAAGCCATGGTTTTAACCTTAACCATATCACTGAGCAAATTAAAGACTCATGTGGACAGAAAACAAGAGATATATAGTAAAGAGAGAGTCAAAGATGAAGAAAACCTCTAAATGGTTTACAGTGTTTTAAAAGTATATGCAGGCTATAGTTCTTTTTTTTTTTTTTTTTTTTTTTTTTTTTTTTTTTTTTTTTTTTGGTTTTTCGAGACAGGATTTCTCTGTGGTTTTGGAGCCTGTCCTGGAACTAGCTCTTGTAGACCAGGCTGGTCTTGAACTCACAGAGATCTTCCTGCCTCTGCCTCCCAAGTGCTGGGATTAAAGGCGTGCGCTACCACCGCCCGGCTAAGGTTAAAGTTCTTAAAATAAAAAAGAAAGAGAATAGTTGTGCTTGGTGACACACACCTTTAATCCCAACACTTGGGAGACAGAGGCAGGCAGACCTCTGTGAGTTCAAGGTGTGGCACACAACTTTAATCCCAGCACTTGGGAGGCAGAGGCAGGCAGATCTCTGTGGGTTCAAGGACAACCTGGTCTACAGAGTGAATTTCAGGATAGCAAAACATACACAGAGAAACCATGTCTCAAAAAGCCAAAAATTAAAAATTAAAGAAATAGAGGTTAAAATAGCCACATAAAGATGAAAAATACAGTTTGGATATTGTATGTTATTATGTTCTATTTGAATTGCTTGAATGCTTCAAGACCCATTAATACCACTTTTGAGTATATATCCAAATGATGCTCAATTGTGCCTCAAGAACATGTGCTCAACTATGTTTATCGGAGCAGTGTTTATCATACCCGGAACCTGGAAACAACCTAAATGCCCCTCGACTGAAGAATGGATAAGGAAAATGTGGTACCTTTACTCAATAGAGTACTACACAGTCAAAAAAATAACATCTTAAACCTTGCAGGCAACTGGTTGAAACTAGAAAATATCATTTTGAGTGAGGTAACCAAGATACAGAAAGACAATTATCACATGTACTCACTCATAAGTGTTTTTTAAACATAAAGCAAAGAAAAGCAGCCTACAAATCACAATTCCAGAGAACCTAGACAACAATGAGGATCCTAAGAGAGATATACATAGATCTAATCTACATGGGAAGTAGAAAATAGAAAAAGACAAGATCTCCTGAGAAAATTGGGCGCATGGGGACCTTGGGAGAGGGTTGAAGGGAAGGGGAAAGGCAGGGAGAGAAGCAGAGGAAAATGTAGAGCTCAATAAAAATTAATAAAAAAAAGAATTTCTGTATTTTCTGGGTGGTCGAGATGGGGGAAAGGACAGAGAGGGAGAACAAGGAAAGAAATATTTTGATTGAGGGAGACATTATGGGGCTATCAAGAAACCTAGCACTAGAGAAATTCCCAGAAATCCCCAAGGATGATCTCCACTAAGCAATAGTGGAGAGGGTACCTGACCTGGCCTAGCCCTGTAGTCAGATTGATGACTGTCTTAAATGTCACCATAGAACCTTCATCCAGCAACAGATGGAAGCAGATGCAGTGAACCACAGTGGAGCACTGGGCTGAGCTCTCAAGTCCAGTCAAAGAGAGAAAAGAGTTAGAATATGAACAAAGAGGTCAAGACCATGATGGGGATACCCACTGAAACAGCTTACCTGAGCTAATGGAAGCCTTCCAATCTGGTCTGACAGTGAGGGAACCAGCATAGGACCAAACTAGGCTCTCTGAATGTGGGTGACAGATGTATGATGGGCAGACTGTGGGGTCACTGGCAGTGGCATAAGAAATTATCCCTACTGCTTGTTCTGTCTTTTTGGAACTCATTCTCTCTGGAGAGATACCTTGCTCAGCCTAGATATTATGGGAAGGGCCATGGTTTTGCCTCAAAGAAATGTGCTAGACTTTGTAGACTCCCTGGTGGGCAGATTTAACCTCTCTGGGGAGTGACAGGAGCATGTGTAGGGGAAGGTGGAGGAAGCAGAAAAAGGGAGGGAATGGGAAATGGATTTGGCATGTAAAATGAGAAAAGGCTGTTTTAAAAAAATAAATTAAAATCAAAACAACAACAATAAAAAGAATTTCAGTTTCCTAATTCCTTTTCTGATACAGAAACTGTGTGTCTAGGGAATTTGATTCTCCTAAGGACCACATCACACTCCTCCTGCTGCAGTGAAGTAAAATTCCAAGGCAGACCCAGGTTCAGAATTCACTCTTATTTTTGTAGTTGACCCCATGCAGGGCTGTGAACCCCTCTGAGTTCTAGCCCCACCTGATTCCTGTTCTGATCTTCTTACCAAGTTCATATATGTGGAATCTTAATATCATCTCATCAATTCAAGTTCAGTGTAACTTGTAAATTATTTTAGCCTGAGTTACTGAAACTGCCTAAAATGAAGCAATGGAGTGGCTCCTTCAGTTAAATGTTTTAGCAGACTGTAGGTTTCTATATGGACAGTAGGTGGTGCTGCCTCCCAGGATAGGACATGATTAAGGATTGGAAGCTGCTGCCACTGCCCTGTTGCCCTGTTTTCATTTATATTCCCTCTCTCTCTCTGTCTCTCTCTCTCTCTCTCTCTCTCTCTCTCTCTCTCTCTCTCTCTCTTTATTTTCTATATGAATATATGTATGTCCACTTTGTGCTTACTGCCCACAGAGGTCAGGAGGGTATCAGATTCTCTGTAACTTGGGTTCCAGGAAATTTGGGGTCATGTGTATGCTAGGAACAAAACCTGGGTGATGCCTTAAAACAATCCCACAGTAGTTCAGAATTAGGATAATAAAAGGGTTATTTATTTAAGGGGAAAACTTACAGATCACTATCCTAAACAACAGTCCTCTGAGCACAAACAGGAACAGAGTCTAGCAGCCTGAACAGGAGCCATAAGCAAGAGAGCAGGCCCACGGTTCTGGCTGCTTTTTAAAGCATAAGAGACAATGCCCCAGTGGGTTGGTATCCTAAAGGCTATTGGCTGAAGGAACAGAATGTGCTCCAACAGCACCTCCCCTTTTAGTTTAAATAAGAGAGTTTCAAACCCAATACAAATCTATATACACTAGGGACAAATATCAAGCATAATTAGAATTACAACCAGAATAAACAATATTAAGCAAGTAACATATTCTAAATGTTTTAATAAACATTTTATCCTATGAAGTCTAAGACTTGTATAGGAAATGGCTTGGCTGGATCATAAGAGTATCTAATCTTCAACCACATTGAAGGCCTGAGAAGTGAGATAATATTCTTTTTTTAAAAAAAAAATATTTATTATGTATACAGTATTCTGTGTGTATGCCTGCAGGCCAGAAATGGGCACCAGACCTCATTACAGATGGCTGCGACCACCATGTGGTTTCTAGGAATTGAACTCAGGACCTTTGGAGAAGCAGGCAATGCTCCATCTTTCCAGCTCTGGGAGCTAATATTCTTGAGCAATCAGGAAGTACAATGAAGTAGCTTCCCAAGTGAGCAATATATGACAGAGACAATTAGCCACCTGAGCAATCACCCAAAGTCTCATTTGCAATGTTGAAACAACCAACCCTGGCGAAGGCCTAGTATACCTGACAGACCATTTTCAGAGGCAGAAGATTTTTCAAACCAGTTTTACCCTGTCTTCAAGATTTGACAGTCCTGCTTATCCATTTCCAGAAACTATGTAACTTGTCAGTGGTTGAGGCATTGTCAGTTCCTTGCCCAAAGGCCAGTTTTGCCAAGAAGAAAACAACCTCCGAGTGGAGTGTCTTCAGTGCTCAATATTCTCTCAGGAATAGATTGGTGCTGTCAGGAGCAATCATGTCTCGTCAACAGAACCCTAAATTATTTAAATTCTATGTTCCACAGAAGAATACCTATCTAGTCAGAATACAATCTTTATGTATCTAAAGAACCTAATTGATCTGACTGTATGTACAACAAACATGAACAAATATTGACCTATAATAAGAATATTAAATAATCTGTAAACAAATGTGTAACAAATGAAGACAATGACCTCAAGATGTAAACAATG